GACAGGCGGACTTGGGTTCAAATTCTGACTCTGCCATATATTGTGTGTTCTTTGACAAGATAGTTAATCACCAAGAATTATTAGGTTCATGTTGGAATTGGGAATAATGACTTATAGCATATAATAGTGTCCCCAACCAGTCCCCAAGGGGAGATGGTGAGAAATGAAGAGACACAATTTATGGGATCTGTAGGATCTTTCATGCTACTGACCTGTAAGGCATATTAGTTAATTTTAGGTTACTTTTTATAAGCCAGTGAAAATAGCAAATTGTACTGATTAAATCAGTTATGTCTGGTACCAAGCTATTTATAGAACATTTTCAGCTGCCTAGGTGCTTGAAGATTCATAGCTAACTCCTTATCAACAAAATAGAAACATAAGTTTCTCATTTACAAAGCTTCCAGGGTCCTGGGTTCAATCAAAGGTCAGTCCTCAAGGGAGGGAGAAGGGAGAAAAGGGCAAAATGGGAAACCAGCCTTGCTGGCTTATCCCCTAGAATATCAAGGACTTTGTCAGCTTGCTATTTAATACCTCATGTAAGAGTATAATAAAGCGGTCACTAATGAGAAATTAAATAAGACAATACCCATGCTTTGCTTAGCACATTTGTCTTCAATCTGAGGTGTGCCTGTACGTGAGGTGTACAATGACTTTTGAACAGATACATGGGCAAACATGGGTTTTAAGAAATAAATATCCAGATTGTCACCTTCTATATATCTCTTTCTAAAAACTGATCTCTCTGAGAAGTCCTTTGGAGTTGCAGCATCATGTTATGTTGGTTCTTCTCTCCCATCTTCCCTCACAGTCACCCCACTTCTACCAAAGAAAGATTTATTGATTATACAGTTAGAATTTTATGTTTTATTGACCCACAGGATAAAAATTTCTGGGGCCCCAAATAAAGGGGCAGTTAGAGATGGCCTTGATGTGAGCCCAGTACGAATGTGCACTCAAAGTGAATTTCCTCTTAAGTCCACAGGTTCTGGCTCCAAGAGCAAGACACAAGTGAAGAGACGAGATTCCAGGACCTAGATATCATCGTTTGTTGGGATATCCTTGACTGGAGGCTAAAATTTCTAACTAGAAATTTAGAGCAGTTCAAGAAGAGACTGAAGACACAGCATCCTAATTACTGGCTACTTCCCATAAGAGAAAAAATGATCAGGGCCCAGGTGACTTTTGGTTTGTTTTATTCTTTCCTTCATTCCATAATTGATTTCTAGAGCACTTTAAAAGTCAATTGAATTAAATGGAAAGTATAAATTGGTAAAGCAGGACTAGTGCACAAATAGACTCTAACTGCAACTTCAAGGCAAAGTAGGACCAGGAATATATTATTCATAGGTGTGGTATCATAGAAAGATATTTGGTCTTTGCTCCTAGTTCCTGGCACAGAGCTCCTAAAACTCTTAGAATTCCTGAATGAAAATAGTGATTGGTGCCTCTTTTGTTCTAAGAAAGTTACTCTTGGTGGACAGTTAGATAGCTTCAGTATGGAGGCTGGTCAACAGAAAGACCAATCCTTAATTAGAAGCTTGCAACTTTCAGCCCTACCCCCACCCACCAGGGAGGGGAGAGGGAGATTGAGTTCAATAACCAGTGGCCAGTGATTTAATCAGTCATACCTATGTAATGAAACCTACATAAACCCCCTAAGCAATGGGGTTCAGAGGGCTTCTGGGTTGGTGAACACATCGAGTTGCTGGGAGAGTGAGGTGCCCAGAGAGAGCATGGAAGTTCACACCATCACCAACACCCCTATACTTTGCCCTGTGCATCTGTTCCATTTGGGTATTCCTGAGTTGCATCCTTTATAATAAACGGGCAATAGTAAGTTCAGTGCTATCCTAAGTTTTGTGAATTGTTCTAGTGAATTTTTGAACCAGAGGGTGGGTTGTGGAAACCCCCAAATTTGTAGCCAAGTCAGACAGAAGTGTGACCCCACAGTTTCAAAACTGGCATCTGAAGTGGGGTTAGTCTTGTGGGATTGAGCCCTTAGCTTGTGGGGTCTACACTAACTCCAACAGTAGGTGCCAGAATTGAATTCAATTGTTGGATACCCAGTTGGTGTTGAAGATTTGGAGAATTACTTGGTCTAAGGAAAAACCCACCCAATTATTGTCAGAGGTGTTATGAGTAAAAACAGCACAATAGAATTTACACTGAATGATCAGTATCAAAACATAGTGTGTGACTGGAGCATCTTGTGGGTTGTTTTAGGTGTCACCTTCTGTCTAATGTCTCTGCCAGTCATCACAACCAGAGAACCATAATGGTCACAAAATATGCACTAACTCTGAGAGGAAAGCAGACCAGTTCCTGAGAGGTGTCACTATTTCATGCCATTTAGGTCTCAGGACATTTTTTTGGATGGTTATTCCTAGAGGTGATGTGATAGATGGTATCATAAATGCAGATTTCTCATAAATGCTAAACGAAAGTTTCTCAGAGACCCCTTAGGAAAGAGATGAAGAGAACTCAATACACAGAGTTTTTCATGGGACCATGGCAAGGTGACCAATGGACTCAGGTTTGTGGCTGTTAGGGCCAAGCTAGGAATAAAACCTTCATGGTCTAGGAAGTTGGAAAGATTCTGTGACTTCCTAAAGTCCCTTATGAACAGGTGGCTGAACTGGTATTTGAGTACAAATTTGTCTGTAGGCATTTGGAACTTATGCTGTCTGGTAAGGGCATGGGTTGTCGTGATCCGGAGGGTTTGCTTTGGAACTTCACTGTAAGATAGTACACACTTCTTTCTGTGTTCAAAGCCAGTTCTTACCTACTGCTGCCTCCCTTGTTACCTTCTTAAAATTTAATCATACAGACTGGCCAGTTAGCTCAATTGGTTATAGCATAGTGCTTATGACTCCAAGGTCCAGGGTTCGATCGCTGTACCAGCCAGCTGAGAAAAAAAAAAAAGCTATAAATGTGCATGGATACATTTTAAAGGTTAAAATAAAACTGTCCCATGATTATAAAGTATACATCGTAGAAAAGTAAGGTTCCTTTGCATCCTTCTTTTCCTAATTCCCTAAGTGCAGCTTTAACAAATGGGCAGTAATACATATTTCCTGTCACTGTTCCTGTGTGTGCATCTACCATATATATGTGTATATGTATATATATATTTACAGATGTATCTGTCTCAGCCCTTAAATCTTTGGATAGTGCCTTTCCATTATTATATTTTCTTTTTCATACATTGAATTGGTAAATGCTAGACTTCACCTGTCTTCCATATTTATTAATCTGTCTTTTATATTCGATCATTTTGTCCTGTGGTACTTTCTTCAGATCTAGTTCACTAATTATGTCTTCAATGTAATTGATATGTTGTTAACATACCTGATAATAATTTTTTAAATTTTTTAAATTTTGTGTGTGTATGGTTTTTGAGCAATACTATGTTTTTCATAGTCTGTTTAATATTGCTTAATAGTCTCTTGTTCTTTGGACATGTTTTGGAAAGATTCTTTTACTCCTCCAAAGACATAGGTAAAAAATAGTGTTTTCCTACTGTTGTTCTGCGTACAGTATTCAACACAGAACATTTTACCTCTGGTCACCAAAAACTGTATGGGTTCTTCCTCACCAACAATCAGTTCTCCAGCTGACACTTATCTACCTGGAAATATTGTCATATCCCACAGATTGAGAGCTCAGTCCTGCAAGACTGCCCACATCAGACACCAATTCACAAGCAGTAGACTGTCACTTATCTTTCTGACCAACTGGCTATAAATCAGGATCCCCACAACCCCCTTCTCAGATTTGATTAGTTTGCTAGAGCAACTCAGAACTCAGGAAAACACTTTATTTACATTTACCAGTTTATTATACAGAATATTATAAATTATACAGATGAACAGCCAGATGGAAGAGATGCATAGGGTGGGGTATGTGGGAAAGAGTGAGAAGTTTTCATGCCTCTCCAGATGCACCACTATCATCCAGGCATCCCCATGTGATCAGCTATCAAGAAGCTCTTGGAACTGTCCTTGTGGGTTTTTATGAAAGCTTCATTCTGTAGGCATGACTGATTACATCACTGGCCATTGGTTATCAACTCAACCCTCAGCCCCCCTCTGCTTCCGGAGACCAGGGGGTGCAGCTGAAAGTTTCAACTTTCTCATCCCGTGGTTGGTTCCCCTGGCAAAAAGACCTGATCCTGAGGTTATCCAGCAGCCCCAGAGTCACCTCATTAAAACAAAAGACACTTCTATCACCCATGAAATTCCAAGGGATTTAGGAGCTCTGCATCAAATGCTGCTATCATTCAGGAATTTACAAAGATTTACGTGCTCTGTGTCAGGACCCAGGGTCAAAGACCAAATATTAAAATAAGAGATTCTTCTAGCCCTCCTATCTGTAAGGGTTTTGGGAATTCTGTGTCAGGAATCAGGGGCAGAGACAATATCACACCTTCTAACATACAAAATACACTTATTTGATATGTAGTATCTTATAGTGTCTATAGTGTGTTCATGGTTGATTCTGATATTGGGTATGAAGATTCATGATGAATATAGAAAAGTGCTATATTCATCTTGATATCACTAGAATATATTTAGTGCCTGACAAATATGTGTTCAAAAAAACCTACATATACATATACATATATGAGATGTTCCTAGTTTAGCCAGGGCATTAAATGACTAGTTATTCTGATTTGTTAATTGATGGATGACTCTACAATTACAGCATATTTTGCTAGAGATTGATTTTAAACATAGATTTTAGAGATAGATTTTGCTTCTATCACAATGTGTTGTTTAAAAAATTACAACACCTAGGTATATAAATGCAGCGTATATTGTGAAAATGAGCTCAACAACATCCTTCACATTCCTTCTGTGTCAATAAAAGAGAAACACTTCGTATTAAGGAGGACTATGTTATTACAGGAATCACTGACACTGGAGGATGTGGCTGTGGAGTTCACCAGGGAGGAGTGGCAGCTCCTGGGCCCTGCTCAGAAGGACCTGTACTGGGATGTGATGTTGGAGAACTACAGCAACCTGGTGTCAGTGGGTAAGGACAGCTGCCCTGTGTCACTCAGAGGGTGTCCAGTCAGTGGCCTTTCCTTCTCAGCTTCCGAAAGTTCTAGAGGGTCTGTGGTGCCCTGCAGTGGTAGATTCTCTGTCACCTCTCTGGTCCCAGATAAGAGGGTATAATGTGCCACCTTACTGAGAGGAAAGCCTTTACTTTGCAGACATGTAAGTTATGTCATTCTTAAAATGGAGCGTTCTCTTATGTTGACAGATCACAGCCCAATTTGATGAACCTGTCTTCTGTGATTTCCCATGAACAGGGTATCAAGCCAGCAAGCCAGATGCAGTCACCAGGTTGCAACGAGGAGAACCGTGGACAATAGAAGATGAAATCCATAGTCGAATCTATCTAGGTGAGTCAGTGAGACCCAGCAAGGAGGGTGACCAATGAAGTCATAGTCTAGACGTTCAGAGGTTCACAGCTGTGAGGGTGTTTGAGGATATGTAAACAAGTCCCTCTTCCTAGGCAAGAGCTCTTTTTCTTTTAGGTGTTTTGAGGAACATACACCTCTTTATCTCTTCTTGGATTCAGCCACTGTTTATTTCATCTCGCTCTTGATTTTTTTCTCTAGGTTTCTTCTTTTTAGGATTCTGAAATCTCACCATTCTTCCCCCATCAGAGTATCACTACCTGTTGCTTCTCCTTTCTTCCCTTGCTATGAAACTACTGTCCATGTCTCTCTCCAAAGAGAGATCTTTGATTTGAGCACTGTCTTCTGACTACTTCACCTTCCTGCCCCTTTTGATAATCTTGATTTCCCTTCCTAACATCCACCCCCATCTTGGATTCTGTGCCCCCAGGGTAACCTGGTCCGTTGCTGTGCATATATCTGTTTCCTTAGTTTCTCTTTTTCCCCAATATGAGGTCCTCCAAAGGTTCTGTTTTCTATCTGTTGCTCTGTTCACATATCCTTTAAACGTTTTCTTTATTCTGATGACTTAATCATTTGTTCTCTTTTGAGACTCTCGGGTTAACATCTCCCTTCATATTTTCTAACTTTTACATGTTCATACCGTATATGTTACCATTTCCGTGGCAACTCCTTGAGTCTATCCTGGCCACTGTGGAGTGACCTCAAAACTTCCCTACCTCCTCAGCTTCTTTATTTAAAGTCTTTCTCTTCCTGCTGATTTTTTCAAAATTCTCATTCGGTTTCCAGCCCAAACCAGATTATTAAACCTCAGTCCTGCTTTGCTATATTTTTCTTGTGTAATTGTTATTTCTGCCCGTTGTTTAAGATTCTCTTAAATGATATTGCTGGGCTCATTCCCTTAAAGCTTTCCTTTTCATATTATATGTAGTCTGATGGCATTACGTCCCAGTTAATCATAGCAGTCATAGAACATGAAAATTTCTTTGCTGTCAATTGATATTCTAGTCCAGTCTCCGTGATATAGTATCGTCTTGCTTATACAGAGTTTTTTCTTCCCCCTAAGGTCAAGATCAATGCGTTAAAGGGTCAAAGTCTCCCCAATGTGTTCCATACATGTGATTTTTTCCTTGTTTCATTGCCTTAAATACTTTTTGATGGCCTTAAATAGTTTTTGGTAGCCCATTACATACTAGCCCTGACAGCTGTAAACATCAACAACAAAATTATTGGGGATTACATTCTAAAAGGAGGAAGCACTAAATTAATCAGAATAGGTAAGTATCGTGTCTTGTGGTGAAAGTGCTGGGAAGAGCAATAAAACACATAATGTGGGTGACAGGGAGCTTCTTTTTGGGAATGAGAGTGGCTCTTTTTAAGGTGACTGAGTAACTATGTGAGGAACGTGAGTAGTTCACTTGGATGAATTACCTTCTAAGTAGGCAAAATAGCAAGTTCAAGAGCCCAAGGCCGGTGTATGTTTGAGGAACTTCAAGGAAGCCTATGTACACACAGTGGAGTGAGTAAGAGGCAGTGGTTGGTGATATATGGAGATAAGGTCAATGTGGCAGTAGCTAGAGTTTTGTATAGACAGGTCAAGTAGGACCTTTCAAGGAGATTTCAAGGACTTGATTTCTTTTAAATCATGAGAGACTTGATTTTTTTTTTTTAAATCATGAGAGAGTTTTGAGGAGTAACATGATATAATTCATATTTCAAAGGGTCATTTGGCTACTTTGTAGAAAATAGTAGGTGGCAGAGGTTGAAGCCTGAAATCCACAGAGTGGTTGTCTTTGAACTGGGTCGAGGGAGTGAGTTTTAATCAGTTTGTGAATATATTTATTAAAAAAGGCAGATGGAATTTCCTACTGAAGTAGACAAAGGGTGTGAGAGAAGCATACAAGTGAAGGATGATGGTAAGGTTTCTGGCATGAGTCCTGGAAGGAATAGAGTTTCCATTTCCTGGGATGAAAACAATGTGTGAAGGAGGCAATGTGCATTGATACATCAGGAGTTCTGTTTTAGACATTGTAATTTAGACATGCTTGTTCACATTCAAGTAGTCTTCTATACTGCGGTTGGATATCTGAGTTCAGGGAGAGTAAGGACTACAGATAGCAATTTGGACTCAGTGAGATCCTCTGCAATGGGAGTACAGATAATGAAGAGGTTTGGGCAACTAGTGATGAGTATTTCTTAAATGCATGGTTTCCTAATATGTGTACCAAGACCCCTTTTTCTGAGTTTACTTGTGTTAGATTTGGGGCCTGGGCTAGTCCATATAAAATGCTGTAAGCAGGCCCTCTTGAGCCTAGTTCATGAACTACAAGCCCCAGTACATGCTAGAAGGGATTCAATTTGTTGCAGCATTTCAGAAAACTCTCTTACAGAGAGGTGGGACACTGAAGCTTCTACAGGAAGCACAATTTATTGGTCGGCCAGCTGTGACTCAGAGGATTAATGTCCAAAAGCTGAGCCCCCAAATACAGCAGGGCTGTTATTTCTATATCATAGTATTTCTGGGTTTTACAGCATGGTAGAGGGAGCTTTATCTTAGGGTGGAAAATTACGGACAAGAAAAAAACAGAAGAGAAATTCAGTTTCATCAGCCTGTGATAACCACTGAGTGAGACTGAAGGGTGGCTGCAGCTGCAGAGGAGTGTCAGCTGTAGCTGTTCTGCAAAATATCTGGTTTGGCCTCATTCCCCCCTTTGATGCATTGACTGTGGCCAGACATGGCTCAGTCATACAACATTATTATATATAGTTTTGGGGGTCCTGTCGGGCCACTGCAAAATATCTGGTTTGGCCTCATTCCCCCCTTTGATGCATTGACTGTGGCCAGACATGGCTCAGTCATACAACATTATTATATATAGTTTTGGGGGTCCTGGTTTGTATTGTCATAGTGAAAACATTCTGGTGGTGGTTTTTTGGTTCCACCATGGCCTCTAGGGAGGATTTAATTGTGTTTATTATCAGAAGCAACAGGCAGGGGAGGATGATACAAGTTCCCATTATGAAAAGGACCATAATAATGAGGGTTTTGAACCCTCCAAACATGTTAAGCCAGCCACCAAACATTTTTCCAAAGAAGTTTCCTGACTTCCAGCCAGGCCATTATGAACAGGAACATGAGCTAATTTTCTTATTTTTGTGGTTATATCAGTGATTGCCTTTTTGTTGTCCTGTATTTGTAAACAGCAATCTGAAGTGTTAAATTTTCCATAGACTCCCCCTTCCTCCACTAGGAGGTAGTGTAATGCCAGTCAATTTTGATAAGTAGTCACTCTCATTTGAGATTGTTTGTGGGCTAGGAGGTCTATTGCAGTGGAAGTTTCATTGCTGATTATCTCTAGAATTGTCTGGAGCCTGATGATATCATTTAGCATGTAGATGGGGGTTCTATCTCCCCAGCTACCATCCTGAGCCCAAGTGGCAGGACCAAGATATTGTATTATGCATTGTGGGGTCATTGATGAATGACCCATGTCATCTGTTTTCCTCCCAGTTCAATGGACCTTTTGGGTCTCAGGTCTCATATAGGGGAATCCCCAGGTGTGTTTCCTCTTCTTTGGGTAACAGGAAGAAACCCGGTTGGATAGTTCCTTGGGCGCAACATCCATTCCATCTGTGGAGTACTTGGGTATAAGCCCTCTTTCCGTAGATCCAGAAGAGCCCTTCAGATGCTCCCTAAGTTTTGAGATCAATAGATTTTACATTTTTTCAGTACTGGTTAATTTGCGGAATTCCCTGGAAGTTTCAAGATCCTGTACAATTTTGTAACTGAGGGTAACAAGAACTTGGAATGCAGGACCCATTGTGAGTTTTTCCCTTGGTTGGAAGTCAGGCCCAGAGCGATGGTGTTAGGCCACCAGGAGTATGCTGTTTTATTTGAGTATACCTGTTTACAGAAGGTTTTTCCAACCCATTGGGTAAAATTTTTACCCAGTCTACTGAAGCAATTTTATCTAATGACCTCTGAGGACAAATCCCAGCTGCAGGGTGAGATGGATGCCCATGGGGCTATGGTCTTGTTCCATAGGAGGATTTTGGGAACCTCTAGGCTAGATCCCTTCCATGGCCAGTTTTCACTTATCAGGGAGCCCCCACATGTCCATTAGTTTGACATGTTTAGGGTTGGGGCTATGCTCTCTGCCAGATGTATGAACAGGTTTTGGCCGACTGCAGAAGTGTTTTGAAAGGAGGCTTTGAGTTTGTTATAGAGGCCAAGGGATGGGACTGTGGAGGCAGGAGCCCTGGAGGAAGACAGAATAGTAGGGGTTAGAAGTCGTTCTCATGTTTGGCCAGGTTGTGGGTTTTCAGAGCAGAAAACTCCATTTGCCCTTTGGGAACCCTGGACCTTGGTTCCATATGACAGGAAGCAGAGTTGCTGACTCTCCTTATTTTTCCCCCCAGGGGCCCTGGGGTTGAAATCCTGGCATTTACAGTTAGGGAGCCAATTGTCATCATCACCATTCCAGTCATAGCTGCCCCTAACTGGGATAAGCCAACGTGGTGTTGGAGTTTGAGAAGGACCCTGAGGGTTAGTGTCAGGATATGGAAGTGTAGTGGGGCATGGTTTTGTAAGGGAAAGTTGTGGCTAGTCTGGGGGTCCTCTAACTAAGATCCACAAGGGAAAGAAATGATATGATACATGCAGCAGAAGAGCAAAACAAAGAAAAGTATCACCAGTCCCAAAAAACAAAGTCCAGCAATTTCTGCAGGGGCACACTCTCTCATTGGAGATCCTCAGGCTTCTGCTGTGTACAGACTAGTCAGCCTCCAGAATGATTGGAGCAGGGCTCATCCATCTGGAGTCTCCAAGGCAGGTCAAGTTACCTGTTTCCGGAGGGTCAGCTTGCAGAGGGAAGTAGGGTGAGGGATGCAGTCCCAGGCAGCCGTGGCTAGTTTTAGTCTGCTGTGATGTATCCATGGAGTGACCTCAGCTACTCTGACTGCAGTAGGGGTAGACAACAGGA